CAGTCCTGTCGGATGCTCCTGAGTTTTCTGCCCACGCTGATGGTTGGGCTGGCCTGCCCTGGTTGTGGCATGAGCGTATGGGCTGAGGTGTGCCCGCTCTGCCCAGAGGCTTGGCCTGTGAGAGCCCGCCCACATCCCACATCCCACTCGTCCAGCCCAGTGGAGAAAAAAACCCTGTGTGAGGGTTAATGACAAAAATTCTGCTTTTATAAGAATTCCCTTTTCGTTTTCCTGGACACTAAGCTATCACATGCTTTCTTTGCCTAGATGCACAGTATTACAGTAATAACCCACTTACCCAGAGGCCGGACTTCCGCACCCTCAGCCCCGGGACGTGGCTGCAAGCCCTGCAGTAAGCAGAGGCCCTGAGCCCCCAGTGGCAGGGCCGCTCAGCCTGTCACCCAGACCCCAGACTGTGACTTAAGTGAGGGCACAGTGAGAGGGAACGGCAGGAGGCCCTGGAGCTAGTGGCCCAGCTGTCTGGGTGGGACCCTGAGAAGTCGCAGGCCCTGACCTGGGGGGCAGTAGGGTAGCGCCCACTCATTTACAGTAACTGAAGCTGCATCCCAACTAAATCATTTATCATCCTTCAGCAGAAAGGCTGATCTCCACTTAGGAGGGTGCAGTGTTGCTAGTTAACAGTAGTCAGCTTCAGTTCTGTGACCGATTCACACACGAACACGTGTGTTCCCGGTTCTGTGGGATAAAGGAGATGTTACTCTCCTAATGGGCCAGCAGACTTCTGGAAAGGCCCGAATAGTAGGTATGTTAGACTTGGTGGCTGTATATGTTACACCTCCTCAGTGGTGGTTTGTGTGAAAGCAGCACAGGCAGTACATTAACATAAGGTGTGGCCATGTTCCAGTGAGACTTTATTTAGAAAAACAGGGCCAGGAGGTACATAGTCTGTCTTCATTTAGTTTGCGCCCCCCCCCCTTTTTTTTTACAGAAAATTCAGGGAATAACTGAGTGATTGCCATTTATAAAACATTATACTTTTATTGAGAAAGTCATAAAATGGTTTAACTATTTTTATTTTTTAAACAATACACTTCAGCCCTCTGGAAAATTCCATCAGATTGGAACCTCACAGATATCACGTAAATGTAACAGGCTCCTCACACGAACGAATGAGGAACCTGTCACACCTTCATGCAGTTTCTCGACGGGAAGGCCCAGCAGTGGAAAGTCCAGGGCCCAGCCACACGGTTCCAAGTTTGAACAGTGTCCTTGTGTCTCTTGGAGACCCTTTCAGAACGTTAACTTCACTGCTCTGTTCTCACAGGTCTGAGAAAGAACCCCAGTTTAAGTTTATCTACTTCAACCACATGAATTTAGCAGAGAAAAGTACGATTCACATGAGGAAAACACCCAGTGTGTCGCTGACGTCTGTTCACCCGGATCTGATGAAGATTCTGGGTGACATCAACAGTGACTTCACCAGGTAATTCTGACCACCTTTCAAGCGAGGTGCCCCCTTCTAATCAGCAGAGACATTAAGGGAATTGTCTTCAAAGCCCAGTGACCACTGCCCCTTAGAGGGGCTCGACCACCTCTCTGGGCTTCCAGGCCCATCATTAAGCCCAAAGCCGCGGGTCACTCGTACGGGACTCCCTGGACTTCTCAGATGACTGAGATTTCCTGTTGTAGATAGTTTCTCACAGTCTGGCTCTGTTTGTAATAAACGACTGCATTTTGAAACTCTTGTCTTGCAGGGTGGACGAAGATGAGGAAATCATCGTGAAAGCCATGAGTGATTATTGGGTTGTTGGGAAAAAGTCTGACCAGCGGGAGCTCTATGTTATTTTGAATCAAAAAAATGCAAACCTGATTGAAGTAAATGGTAAATAGGATTTGGTATCTGAGCACAATGTTAATGCTTCTGATATTTAAAAACCACTGTCTTCATTGTACTGAGACACATGCTCAATAGAACAGCACGACTGTTGCGATTTCAAGCAGATGCTTCCGCTGCTCGGAGGAAACCTTTTGATCCAGTCTGTTTTTCTGTAGCTTAGTTCCTCGAAAAAGTATGTGAAAAACTTGCCCGTGTCACGGGAAACTTGACAATGGCCAAAGGAAAATTATTTTTATAATGCCAAAGGAGAAAATCCCATGGCTTCACATACTGTGGATGAACTGGTCTTCCTTACCTCCTGTGTGAGAATACACCCTTTGAAGCAGAGCAGCCAGGCTCATGAAGCAATTGACAGCCACTCTGTGCGGGAGCAGTAACGCTGGGGCGTGCCTCCCGCTCCAGCCAGAGCCGGTCTGTCCTCCGCACACTGCGATCCCAGCAACTGCTTTGTGCTGGCCTGGAGGCAAGGGTGGTGTCCCCTCCCCTGCACCCAACCCCGGTGCGGCTCTGCAAGAGACAGAGCAGGGAGTGGACAGTTGGGATGCACCCAAGTGCCTGCCACCTGTCAGCAAAGTTAGGTGTGAGCTTTTTCTGCAGGTGTCTCCGAGGGCATATTCCACTCCTCTCTCCTAGTAACACATGCATAGTTGTGTGCGTTAGAAACCGCAGTGAGGCCGTGGCTCAGTACAGTGGGAATTGAGTCGTCACGAGAGAGAGGCCGCTGGAGCACCTGGTCCACAGCTCATGGCTGCAGCTGGAGTTCGTGCTTGCATCAGAGTTCTCAAGATTTTAGAAGTTGTGCTCCTACGGCCCTCACCATGGGTGTCTCAGGCCCTCTGGGTGCTGGGTTTGAGCTTTCCCAGGCGCGAAGAGGCAGTGGGTCTCTGTTAAATAGCACTGAAGTCTCGTGGGCATGTTGGGCTTTTTCTTTCTCCGAGTTTATTAATGTTTCTTGCCTCAGCTTCTTAGAAATAAGATCAACATTATTGCAGATAATTACTTATTCCCAACTTTATTCCAGAAGAATTTAAGGTACTAATATGTATCATACAACCTTTGAGTGACAAGCTCTCCCTTACTCACTGCTTTCTGTTCTTCCTGCAGAGGAGGTAAAGAAACTTTGCGCCACGCAGTTCAATAACATCTTCTTCTTGGATTGACGGGTCACGGCTCACAGAAGCATCTTTTAAAAAGCCACTCAGCAAGCGTTCTGTTTACACTGCAGGTTATTGGTCATATTATTGACTGGATTAATGACAATAGTAAAGCAATACTTGCTTTGAAGAATCAAATTTCTACTCAGTCTGATGATCCTCTGAAGTTTTTAGATTTTAAATATTTATGTGGAATTAGCCAATGACATTCTATCATTCCATTCTTTGGACATTATGTGAATATTTTACTGGAAAATAAGACTAATAAATTGTTAAAGTTTTTAAACTTCCGGTTTTGCATTGAGTCTCTCTCCTGTTGCCTGTGTGTAGACCACACTGGCCAGTGGGCCACTGGCTCATCCTGGGGGCTACTTGACCAGCTGGAGCTTTGCAGAGTTGGGGTCCCTTCCCTGGTCCCTAGAACTGAAGTGGTGAGCTAAGGCCTTTGCCCAAAGTATTTGCTAGACGTGGTTTTTACCTCATATATCCTAAGCTGAGTGAAAGTGCCCCAGTGTGGCCTAAACATAAAGCGTTTTGTTGTGTAGAACAAACTCCCAGTGCACTCTGCGAGCAGCTTCACAGCTGAGACAGAGCTGGCTGGGTTTTACTTAACAGAACCTGCCCTTAGTGGCCTGGTCCCCCCAGAGTCGGGGTGAAAACAAGCCAGGCATGGTCTAGAAACACTGGACCCACCCAGCCCTCACAGGGCTTCCAGTTCCCGTCGCCTGACCTGCATGCTCCTGTGAGTTAGGGAGGAGATGGGAGAAAACTCATCGATTTGTAGTGTTTTTGTCTTATATAATGCACAGTTTCCACTATGATTTCCTCTCAATAAAGGCATGCTTTGTGTTTATTGCTGACTTGCTAATTGCAGTCCAAAGAGATCTGGTCTCTGAGGGATCATTTGAAACTTGCACTTTTCAACCAAAAATGTAGCCAGTGTTTTTTCTCTGTTGCATGCTGGTGTCTAACTGTTAGTTCAAAGGTTTTCGTGTAGGCACTTTAATTGTCTATGTCCTTACTCAGTGTTGCTCTTCCTGGTCTGTTTGCAAGGCTAGTTCGGGAAATGCATGGGAATACTGCATCTTTTTGGTTGTTGGTCCTTTTTAATTATTTTTATCTGTATTATGCTGATATTTGCTTTAAATTCTATTTTGTTGACCTTTAATAATGCTTGCTTTCTAATCATCTTGATTAGATTTTCCGGGTGCATTTTTCCTACTTTATTTTTATCTTTTCTATATGATTTTGTTGAAGATGTTTCCCTTGTAAAGAGGAACATTGAAGTGATTTTTATTTTTTTCATCCAATCTAAGTACCTCTGGGGCTTGGGAGGGGAAGAGGTGAGTTTAGCCTGTTAATTGGTGATTCCTGGTATCTTGGCACTTCTCCCCACCATCTTTTGCTTTCTGTTTCCATCTTTTTTCTTCATTGTTCTCCTTTTTTCCAAGATTTATGTTAGATGATAGTTTCCTTCCTTCTGCCAGTTGGGAAGCTAGAAATTGTCTTTTTATGCTTTTGGTGGTAGGTCTTAAATTTTAAAACAAATTATTAGCTCTGACATTTTCTAACAGAGACTTAGAGTATTCACTTAACCGCCAACTGCACACCCGCTCCTGACCCTGCTGTTTGGCCTTGGGTCATGCAATGTTTGTGGTGCTGACTCGCGGGAATGAGTCCCGTAAGAGGCAGCCAGGTAAGGGGACAGGTAGGATATGGACACAGGGCAGTGACAAGGGGCAAAGGAACTATTTTGGGGAGGGAGCCTGAAGAAATGTTTCAATGAGTGCATCTACTCCCCATTGATATGTGATTGGTTTTATCAGATTCTAAACTTAATCACCAATCATATTGAATACACACTCATTTACTCCCCATACCCATGTATTTTCATGCAGCTCAGTTTTCAGAGTGCAGGCATTCAGTGGTCCAGCCTTAGAAAAACTGGGAACAGTGGACAGGGCGTGGTATTCAAGCACACTGCGACGGGAAGTGAAACACAACTGTATTGGTCAGGAAATGCACTGCAGTGCTTTGGTCTAACCTGCTTTCACATCTGCTGGTTCCTGTGGCTCGTTGACAAACCCGGTCGCCTCTATTTTTTCTTCTTCTTACTTATGAAGGATTTGGACAGGCCCAATACCTGGGCCTCTTTCGGGAGGCCCAGCATTACATGCAGGGATGGGATGTCCACCGGTTCCTTGATCACAGTGATGTCGACCATGTGGTGGTCTTGTTTTTTGACCTCTTCCTCTTTCAACTCCAACATCAGAAGCCTAACACCAGAAGCAAGCAGAAGGAGACGGCGTTACTTCCTTTGTAATTTCAAAACAGTTTTTATGCTACATGTGGAGTCAAGTTGTCTATAACTTAGTTTCCAAAAACTAAGTTATCGTCACTTTCTGAAATAAATTGATATCATATCTAATGAGATCTGCAGTGACTGGTGAACCACTTTTCTCTTAGCAACAGGCAGCTAGTAAGTAGCCTTTGAAAATCCTCTGAGTCTTTTTGCTTAAGACCAGTTGACTGCCTTCTTCCACAGACCGACAGGCTTGAGGGGCACTTTACAGAAAGCAGGCGTTTGGACTCTGGCCCAACATGTGTGCACAGAACTGAGCCCGGACAGAGGCTCTGGACAGGTGAGGGTGCAGCCCTTCAGGGCCGTGTGCCGGGCACTGTTTTACGTGCTTTACGCACATTAGCTCACGTCATCCTCACCGCAGCTTGCAGACCAGGGAACAGGCACACAAGTGGCTGACCTTGCCCAGGGTCAGCCAGGTGTTAAATGGTGGGGCTGGGATTTGAACCCAGGCGATCTAGATCTGTGGTCTGACTCAGCGACTCTGTCACATTGCCTCTTTGTGTGAGCCCTGCGACACAGACGTCACCACCACCTTAGAGAACGGGGAGCTCCCAGGCAGGGTTCTTCCGGGGAGCCCCATGAGGACAGGTGCCACCTCCCCGCCCCCTTCCCTCTCGCCCCCCGCCCCCTCCCTCCCCAGGAAGTCGTGTGCTTTCAGCAAAAGCACTGGTCCCCGCTCCTGGCAGCTCCAGGAAGGGGCCAAGAGGGTTCTAGTTACCTTGCTTCCAGCTCGTCGTTTTCTGTCTTCCTCCGCTTGGCCATGGCTGTGTAATGTAATGTATTTTCCTTTATTTTCTCCTTGAGAGTTTCTTCATGTCTGTATGCTTGGAAGAACGTGTTCACAAAAAAGGTACACATACAGTTGATCCACCTGTTGATGTTTTCGCATTGTTCGTCCTTGCCTTTTTTTCTCTCTGGAAGAAAGTTTCACTTCAGTGAGCATCCACCCAGTGGTGCAGCGACCTTGGAGCCCGTGTCCATATTCTGCCCCTCTAGAAGGGGGTGCGGTGCTTCTCCGGCCTCGGGGGGTGAAAGGAGCTGCAGGACGCTGCACGGACCACCCGGGGGGCGAGGCAGGCGCCACTGGGCCACAGCTGTGACCATCAGGATTTCCTCCAGTCTCCTGGCACCTGTACTGTTTTTCTAAATAGCTTAAGTGTTTTTTGTTGGTTTTTTTTAATTAAAATTTTAGAAAATGTATTAACATTGTCCATGTTTCAGGAAAAGGAAATCTGCTTGGCATTTGTGTACATTGTCTTAAAGACAGTTTTCATTAAGAAAATAAAAGGATTTTAAACTCTGAATTGGATAAGAAGTAATATTCTTTTTTAGAGAGAGAGGAAGGGAAAAGGACAGAGGTAGAAATACCGATGAGAGAGAAACATCATTGACCAGCTGCCTCCTGCACGCCCCCTACTGGGGATGGAGCCCACAACCCGGCATGTGCCCTGATTGGGAATGAACTGGTAACTTCTTGGTTCATGGGGTCAATGCTTAACCACTGAGCAACACTGGCTGGGCATAAGTAATATTCTTTTATTTTTAATATATATTTTATTGATTTTTTACAGAGAGGAAGGGAGAGGGATAGAGAATTAGAAACATCGATCAGTTGCCTCCTGCACACTCCCTACTGGGGATGTGTCCGCAACCAAGGTACATGCCCTTGACCGGAATCGAACCTGGGACCCTTCAGTCCATAGGCTGATGCTCTATCCACTGAGCCAAACTGGTTAGGGCATAATATTCTTTTTTTTATAAAATATACTTTTATTGATTTCAGAGAAGAAGGAAGTGGGAGAGATAGAATTATCAATGATGATAAGAAAAGAAAACCACCAATAAAAAGGAAATATCAATGATGAGAGAGAATCATTGATCAGCTGCTGCTGCAATGCCCCACACTGGGGATCAAGCCCACAACCCTGGCATGTGCCCTGACCGGGAATTGAACCATGGCCTGGTTCATAGGTTGATGCTCAACCACTGAGCCACACTTGCCAGGTGCAATTGTCTTTATCTGTCTGACTTATTCACAGTTTTTCGGCCATGATTATTCAGGTTTCCTATATTTTCTTAAGTTGACTTTTGTTATTGATTTTCTCTTCCTAGTTAGGATGTGTGTATTTACCACTTTTATTCTGACTGTACTAGGTTGAAGATGTCTATTTTCTTTTTAGTTAAAGAACCAGCTTTTAGAATGGTCAGTTTTAATATTTTTCGCTCTCCTATGCCTCATTTGTGAGTGTCTTTTGTCGCCATGCTCCTCCTGCTCTCCTTGCACTTGGAAATTCCTCCCTTTATCTTCTGGGATGAATGTTTAGTTATCAGAGTTTCTTATTTAACAATGAAGACCCTTAATACTATAAATTTATTTTATAGTTTTGACCATGTCTTGTATGTAATGTTTAAGTTATTTCAATTTTCTAAGTACAGTGGGGCCTTGACTTACGAGTTTAATTCGTTCCGAGACCGAGCTCATTAAGGAGCTCGTTAAGGAACTCGTTAACTCAAATTACTCTATCAACTCAATGCAAAAAATCGGCGGAGAGACAGCTGGTATCTCAAAAAACTCGTTAGTCGGGACACTCGTAAGTCAAGGCCCCACTGTATTCTCAAAGAATTCTTTAGCAGAATAGAGGACTTCAGCTGCTTGTTGTTTGCTTTGCATTTAATTTCCAAGTGCTTGGATGATGCTGACTTTTCAGATCAGCATACCTGGCTCTTCTTTGGAAAGAGGACCTGGAGGCATTGGGTGCCCCCAGTGGAAGGGGAGAGATGCAGCTGGAAGCCCGTGCGGACAGGCTGAGAAAGCAACGGGGAGGGGAGGAAGTGGACTCAGCAGATAGAATGCTACAGGATGTTACTAGGCGGGAGGATATTAAGAGGAATGTGAGGGATTGAATAAGGGTTTAGTTGTTGTTTTCAACTTGAGCATCTTTCAAAACCAAAGCGAAGGAGACAGCCTCAGTATTACTTGTTGGTTAAGTCTCCTATGGGCTGCAATCCTGGCAGCCGCCTGGCATTCAGGTGTTCCTGTACCTAGTCATAGAGAAGCTTCCAGAAGACTAAAAAGCTGCACAACAAAGGAAAGCATATAAAGTGGAAAGGCAGTCCACAGAATGGGAGGAAACATTTGCCAATCATATCTGAGGAGGGTTAATATCCAAAATATATAAAGGACTCATAAAAACCAATAACCACAAAAAAACACAATGTAACTGAGGATCCAAGTAGACATTGCTCCTAAGAGGACATATTGATGGCCAACGTGAAAAGCTGCTCTACATCACTGATCACCGGGGAAATGCCCAACAGACTCGCACCTGTTCGAATGGCCACCATCACAAAGACCAGGGAGAGCATGCTGGGAAACATGTCAGTAGTGGGAGCAAAGTCCCTTCCAATCATTCCAGGAGCTTCCTGGCTGGTGTGTGGAAAACAGTATGGTAATTCCTTAAAATGTCAAAAATAGAACGACTTCCTTATGACCCAGCAATTTCACTTCTGGGAAGATATCCAAAGAAAATAGAAACAATGTCGAATAGATAGCTGCTTCCCATTATTGTCATGGAAACAGCCCACGTGTTCATGGTCAGATGACTGGGTAAGAAGGTGTGGAACATACAGCATAATTCTATTCAGCCAAACACAAGGAGGAAATCGTGCCATTTGCAGCAACATGGATGGACCTCCAGGGCTTATGCTAAGTGAAGTAAGTCAGACAAAAACACTGTAGGATCTCAGTAACACTGTAGGATCTCAGTTACATGTAGGACCGTCACAACAACATAAAAACTCAGGAACAAGCAGATTTGCGGTTACCGGAGGGGGTGGGAGAACTGGCGGAAGGTCAAGAAGCACAAACTTCCGCTTACTGATAAGATAAATAAGCAGCAGGGATGTAACGTACAACATGACGGCGCTAGTTCAGCGCTGTTTGTTGTATATGAAAGTTAAGAGTGTAAGTCCCCATGGTTCTCATCACAAGAAAAATGGTTTGATATCTATGAGATAGATATTAATTAAATGTATTGAGGCAACCATTTCATGATATATGTAAGTCAAATCATTACGTTGTATACCTTAAACTTATACAGTACTACAGGTCAATTATATCTCCATGAAGCTGAAAAAATATACCAAAAACAAACCTAAAACTCATAAGATCATGCCCAGCAAGGTACTCTGTGAAGCTGGAGACGGAATTGGAAGCAGCAGTACCAGCCTAATTATATACATAATTTTTTAATTAAAAAAATGTTTTAAGGTGGTTGTACATTTTTTCATAAATTTTAAAAATCATGTATAAGCAACAGTTTGCCAAAATTAAAGTTATATAATTAAGATACTCACCAGAAGGAGGTAATGAAAAGGTTAGCCCTTTTCCTGGAGATTTAATAGTCATTTTGGAAATTCTGTCATCACTTAGTGACTTCCTGAACTTGGGCTTTTATGTAAAAAAAAAACAACACAAAAATTATAAAGAATATTATTTCTGCATCATCATGTACTAAAACTAATTTTCTACATTACAAATAATTAGAAATTGTTAATGAGGCGTTCTCTTTAAGCTAAGTAGCAGTTATTGTATCTACTGCAAGGCTCCCCCCCAAGAAACCAAGGAGTTGAGGAAATATTATGCACAGTTAATACTACTTACATTCATATATTAATGGCTTTAATTCCCACACATATGCTATTCACACCCACATTTCTGTCTCGAGCTAGATCTCGCCCTTGAACTCCACACTTGTATATCCAGCCGTGCTACTTGCTCACCACTTGGATGGCATGTGTCCTAATATGTCCAAATCCAGCCCCTTAATTTCGCCCCGATCTCATCCCCCAGCCCCGTCTCCTCCCCCTTCGTGGTCAATGGTAACTATTCTTCCAGTCGTTCGGGCCCCAAATCTTGGGATCACCTTTGCCTTCTCTCTCCCTCTCACAGGCCACAGCCTTCCAAGCCCCTTCCGATCATTCCAGAAGCTTCCTGACTGGTTTGTCAACGAAGCCATAGTGAGCCTGCCGACCCCTCTGCTCGGGACTCCCTGTAGCTGTTCCGCCCACGAAACACTAAGAAACCTCCCTGGGCTGGCCCACCGCCTCCCCCGTGGCTCCACTCCCTGTAGCTGTTCCGCCCACAACCCGGGCGTGCTCCCACCTCAGGCCTCTGCACAGAACAGTCTTCCCCCAGGGGATCACACGGTTGTACTTCACGGCCTTCAGGTATGCTCAGCTGTTACTTCATCTGAAGGCCTTCCTACCTGCCCCGCATCACTCCAATCTGCAGCCTGCCTGGCTCTCGCTTCTGGTCAGTGAGTGTAAACACAGCGCTATGGTCACAGGGGCAAATTTGGAGCCAGACTGCCGGCATACAACCCCAGCTCCACGACTGACTAGATCCGAGACGGCCCGCTACGCACCCTTCCTGGGCCTCAGCTCCTGCCTAGAGATAACAGTAGCACCTAATGGTTGCTTGGGGTGCTGCGCGAGCGAGTGCCCGGGAAGCGCATGGCACCTGGTAAGCACCCGTGGGTGTCAGCTGTTCCTGTGTTCACCTGGCATCATCCCCCCCCCCCCCCCCTCACTAGAAGGTATGGTCCCTGGGAGGACGGGCCTCGAGTTCACTGCCAGATCCCAGTGCGGACGAGCGCTCAGCACACTAGGTACGCAACAGTGCTTGAAGCTGCACCTCGTCACGGGTTTTACGGGTTGGGTTGTAAACACAAACCTCTGTTATCTGGATTTTGCTGAAATCGAGCAAGAGCGCTAACTTGGTTGAAGACAACATGGTGTTGACCAAGTGCACATCAGACTCCTGGATCGGCGCTGCGCTCAGGCTCCTGTTCTGATGGTCAGAGTAAGGACAACCATGAGAACTTCTGGCTTCCATGGAGACGGACATACACACACATACACGTGAAGGGCACTAGTTGATGAATGTCAACATGTCTACACGTGTGAAACCACCTCAGTCAGAACAGTGAACATAGCCATCACCCCCGAAAGTTTCCTGTGCCCCTTGGGGACCCCTCTTTCCCCATCCTCAGCAAACACTGATATGCTTTCTGTCACTACAGATTACTTTACACTTTCTAGAATTTTCTACACAATAGTATCTACCCAGCATTTTTGTCTGGCTTCTTCCACCCAGCATACTTATTTTGATTCATGCACGTTGCATGTATCGTGTGATTTCATTGCTGGCTCATGCACTCCATGGTATGAAGGTAGTATCATTTGTTTATCTTGATGGGCAATGGAAATGCCACACTGACAGCCAGAGTGAAGCTGATCGGATGGTGTCTGAGGATGATCCCTAGACCAGAATGTTCAGACTCAGTTCCTGGCATCCACAACGATGCCATCCATACCAGCATGGATGAATTTTTAAAAATATATTCTTATTGATTTCAGAGAGAGGCAGGGAGAGGGAGAGAAACATCCATGATGAGAGAGAATCATTGATCGGCTGCCTACTACATACCCCACACTGGGGATCAAGCCCACAACCCGGGCATGTACCCTGCCCAGGAATCGAACCATGATCCTCCTGGTTCATAGGTCAACACTCAACCACAGAGCCACGCCGGCCAGGCAAGCACAGATGAATGTAAGGTAGACGTTCATTTCCCCAAAGCAGAGCCCCAGACCCAGATTGTAGCCAGTGACCAGACTCCCAGGTGACTTGGAGAAGCCATCAGTCACCCCTTCAACCTGGAAGAAGCAAGCCTGGCCACAGGGGGGGAACTGTGAAGTGCTGAAGTTAAACTGCTGGCACACGAGGAGCCCAAGGCACAGCCCTTCAACAACGGGAGAAGGCTCCTAGATGACCGGCTCTGAAGGGTTTTGCAGCTGTGGGGCTCCCCTGGCCCCCCAAAACTCTCCCTTGTGGCTCCAAATAAATGGCTCAGAAATCCTTCAAGCCCACTAACCCAAAACGCCCATCCACAACTGGTTTGTCTCAATTTGCCTCAGCACTGGGTCCTTCAGCGAATTACTGCCACGGCCCTGCTCCCCTGAGGCCTGGCAGGGAGGCCTGCCTGGGTCCAGCCCGGTGAGCCGGCCCCATCCTCCAGGCCCCATCCAGCACCTCGCGCACACTCAGGAGCTGTCCCTTCGCGCCTGGGCTCTGGGACAGATCCCCCACCCCCACCCCCACCCCGCCAACACTAGGTGACTTAACAAGCATCTCAGGGGTTCTAAGACTTGTGGCCGCCCAGTGTGTTTGCGGGCACTCTGACCTTCGTTACGGTAGCGCCTATTGGGGGCTAGGAGACGGCTTCCTGGGGTGTGACCAGGAACCCATTTCTCTAACTTAAAAAAGAAAGACAACATGTGAAAAGAAGTCTTCAGTCATTTCCAGAAGGGTTACAAAAGCCCAGGATAGTTTTGAGGGTGGTGACCCATTCCAGAATGAAACCACCCCTTGCTCCAAATTCTACCGTATCTGTTGGCAGATACGAGATCCCAGCTCTGTTTCCAGTGAAGTCATCGCATAGGACACTGACATGGGATTTGGTCATTTGGTCAGTAACAGAGATGGATGCGAAGCTCAAGAGAGCCTCAAAGAATTCCAGGAACACGAGCTGAAATAGAAGAAATCAGAGTCTCATTCATCCTGACACACCTGGAGGCGGGTCAGCGCTCACCTCGGCGTTTGTTTCTCTGCTCCAGAGACCACCACCCCCTCCTCAGGGCTGAAGGCTCCTGGGTGTACACGATGTTGCAATCAAACCTACAGCATTTAAGAGGCCTATTATATGTTCTATTATTCCATCTGCAAGCCGCTTCTCTACTTTGATGAAAACATTTTATAACAGCTAATGGAGGACCGTCATTTTCAAAAGTGTTTCCTTTTTTCTTAAGTAGAAAAGTGGCACCCAGAAACCAAGTGTCGAGTGTGTTACCCACTTGGCAGCCGTCCTGTCCCCCTCCCCGCACCCACGTGGCCCCGACACAGGCCTGCAGAGTGCGTGCACCTGGGGCTGGCTGGCTCGAACTTTGTCCAGCTGTTGGTCCTGAGCCCAGGGCCCTTTGAGTCTGAGCGGGAACAGGCCCCTAATTTGACTGGAGGCTCCAGGCCGGCCTCTACCTGTTTCCAGGAGCAAGAACCTTGCTTCCAGGGAAGACCCAAAACTTGGTTCTTCCAGTCGCTCAGCATGCCCGCAGCACCAGGGTCCCTGGTCTGACAGTTTGCTGAGACCCACCCAGAGATGGATCTAGCTGGAAAAATGAGGCATTTGCCTGCTGCAAGAAACGCTAACAATTAAAGACACATACCTAACTCAAAGGAGGAGGAGACTAATCAGCATTTTTGAGTGTATGACATGTATACCACAGAACATACACATGAATTCAATTGCTAAATAAGTTATCCATGAAACAGCATGGTAGTTTTATATTCTTTTGACTTTGGTCATTGTTTCCTTGTAGAGAGCGCCTGGGAAGGCACACGGGCATTTCTTTAATTATTGTCAGCTGAAGCCAGTGGTGTTGGCAAAGCCACGTCCTGGAAACACGCTTTGCCAAAAGGCAGGAGTGTTGTCAGCTTGACCTTCAGCCCAGGTGCCAGGGGGTGGGTTTTGTTATTTAAATCCAGCCAAGCACCAGGAATACCCAAGAATGCACATAATCTCCTTTGTCTTGACTTTTAGTAAAACTTCCTGTTTTTTTCTGTATAAAATAAACATGCTGTATTGGCTCTGGGTCCCTGTCCCTGTCTCTCCATCAGAAGACAGCTGTCCCACCCGGCCCCAGCTTTTTCCTTCCATGTCTGTGTCTGTCTCTTTCTTTCATTTTCTCAATCCCCAGCCGCCCCTACTCAGGAACCGGACCACTCTCTAGCCGCACTGGACGCGTAGAAGAGAGAAATATTTACACTTCCTGACATCTGAAGTATTCGTTTTAATCTTAATCTCTAGTTTTTTAATACAATCAAGGATACACACACACGCACACACACTCTTATAGTTTTGCATGGGTTAGAATTTTTTCAATCAAATCTTGGTTCTAGTATCCAAGGCAAAACAAACAGCCTGAATGGGATCTATGCCACTGAGCCACCTCACTACAGACCTCAAGTTCCAAGTTGCTGTCAATTCCATCAGACATGGAAGGATTGTCTTCCGCTATGACCTCCACAAATTTGGTTGATGTTAATTCCTTATTTATCATTTTAAAGTCCTATAAAAGAAACAACCAATCAAACATAAGGAACTATAATTACAAACATCTCTATGTTTTTTACGTCAATTTATATCAGTACAACGCTGTAAGAAAATATACCAGAAATGGGTATCTTGAAAACTGATAGTTTTGTGAAGCATTCTGGATTCACATTGGTAGTTACCTCTTCTCCTAACCTAATCCTTCAAAAGTAACAGTGAAGCCCTAGCCGGATTGGCTCAGTGGATAGAGCATCGGCCTGCAGACTCAAGGGTCCCAGGTTCAATTCTGGTCAAGGGCATGTACCTTGGTTGCGGGCACATACCCAGTGGGAAGTGTGCAGGAGGCAGCTGATCGATGTTTCTTTCTCACCGATGTTTCTAACTCTCTATCCCCCTCCTTTCCTCTCTGTAAAAAATCAATAAAATATATATTTTTTAAAAAGTAACAGTGAAGATTTTAAAGGGACATAAACACAGGACAGAGAATGGGAAAGTGGGTGATCCAGATGTGAGACAGCAACCCACTCTGCAGGTGAGGAAGTGGGGACGGGGGACTCTGCAAAGCAGAGGAACAGGAGCTCAGAGGAACTGGAGGCAAGGCAGGTCCCCTGTGGGGGAGAGGCACCTCTGAGGGTCACACAGCAGGTAGGGCTGACACAGGAAGACTCCCTGGGAGTTGAGGCGAAGACCTTTCCACCTCTAAGCTGAAGAGAGGAGGCTTGTTCTCAGATACTGAACCAGAGAGCACGTGGCCTGGAAAACACGTGGTCCCCTAAAGTCACAGAGCTGCTGAAACAGGACGCAGAAGTGCATCCTGGGAGGCTTCTCCCTCCACACCGACCCTCCCCCTCCCCTCTAGGAACGATGAAAACCAGGTTTATGAACCCCAGGAGGTAGGAGAAATCCTCTCGAAAAATTATACATCAAGAGATCAATATTGAGCACTAGCTGGTTGGGCTCAGTGGATGCAGCAGTTCTCAACCTGTGGGTCGCGAACAATGGAAATACATCCTGCATATCAGATATTTACATTACAATTCATAACAGTAGCAAAATTACAGTTATGAAGTAGCAACGAAAATAATTTTATGGTTGGGGGTCACCACAACATGAGGAACTGTATTAAAGGGTCATGGCATTAGGAAGGTTGAGAGCCACTGGATAGAGTGTTGGCCTATGGACTGAAGGGTCCCGGATTCCATACAGTCAAGGGTACATGCCAGGGTTGCGGGTTCGATCCCCAGTAGGGGGTGTGCAGGAGGCAGCTGATCAATGAGTCTTTCATCATTGATGTTTCTATCCCTCCCTCCCTCTTATTTTTAAGTTTTTAAAAATAAAAAATAAGAGATCAACATCTACAGATAATAGTGTCAACAATAAATAAAATAAAAAACTTCATTTTCCCATTATCATTATACCCCCCAAAACACAGGGTATACACTGAATGGCCTCCCTTCAGGAAGGGAGAACATGGTGAGCAAAAATATGGGAAAATACAATAAACTTTCCTTTTCCTCTTGAGTTTTATAAATGATGTCTTGTCTGACAGTTGAAGCAAAAATTATAACACTGTCTGATGTGGTTCTAAACTAAAGAGGAAGTATCAATTATAAGTGGTGGGGGTGAAGAGACGTAAAGGGAAGCAGGGTTTCTGTACTTCACTATATTAGTAAAATGATGACACCAAAATGAAATTCTAAAACCTTCCAAGTGACCCACAGGAAGGCAAGGTAAAAGAAAGCAGAGCAATGAAAAACAGAACAAAATAACTGAAAAATGAAAGGGCAGACTTATACCTAACATATCAGTGACTACATTAAATGTAAATGGTCTATCATCAATTAAAAGACAGATATTGGCAGATATTGCTGGTAAATGGTCTGACCACTCCAGAAAATATTTTGGTGGTTTAAAAATTTTTTAAATATTTATTACAAAACCCAACAACTATAATCTTGCACATTTACCCCAGAGAAACGAAAACTGTCCACAGTACACAATTGTCCATACTGTCTTTATTCATTACAGCCGCAAACTATAACCAACCCAAATGTCCACAGGTGGATGCATAAACAAACCTTCGTGGTGTGTCCATCAAATGGAATGCTATCAGCAATAAAAAAGAACTGTTGCCTGGCTGGTGTGGCTCAGTGGTTGAGTGTCAACCTAGGAACCAGGAGTTTATAGTTCGATTCCCAGTCAGGGCACTAGCCCAGGTTGTGGGCTCAATCCCCATTTGGGGGCATGCAGGAAGCAGCCGATCAATGATTCTCATCATTGATGGTTCTATTTCTCAATTTCCCTCTGAAATCAATAAAAATATATTTTTTTAAAAAGAAAGAAAGGCTTTAGCCAATTTGGCTCAGTGAATAGAGCATTGGCCTTCGGACCAAAGGGTCCCGGGTTCGATTCCAGTCCAGGGCACATACGTTGGTTGCAGGCTCCTCCCTGGCCCGGGCCTTGGTCGGGGTGCAGGCAGGAGGCAACCAATTGATATGTTTCTCTCACATTGATGTTTCTGCCTTTCTCTCTCTCTTCCACTCTCTGTAATAATCAATGGAAAAATATCCTCAGGTGAGGATTTTAAAAAATAATAATTAAAAAAATCACATACTTTATAAAAAAACGATTTTCCTATAGACACTAGACTGTCAGTTTTTCATATACACACAGCACTTAAATGTCTTAAAGCACTCTATCCCCTATTAGTATCCAATTCTTTCCGTTTTAGCATGTATCTTTCCACAAGCATAAATCAAAAGTATCAGGAAACAAAAGCTACCAATATTTAGTATGGAAATGCCGTGTAAATTAGATGCTCTCACTACTTTCCAAACTGATAACTTTTGTAAATTACTTTTTGATGAATGGTAATTGTTTTAAAGTGGCATTCATCCCCCTCTTCCTTTAACCGCAAGGTCAGCATTGGTAACGGTATCGGGGCCCCCACTGCACCGTCCCCTGCGTGGGAGCACAGCGGCGGGCACTCCGTTTCCACCCATTCCCTGCCACAGCCCCATGGAATTACTCCTTTCTGCCCAAAGAGACCCAGGAGACGTTCCTTGGCTATGAAAACCCATCCCAGATCTTCACCTCACCGTTCGCGCACCCTGGCTGGCATACGCTTCCTTTCATTGAAATCATTTGCTTACTTTGAGCATCCAGAGGAAGTGCCTCATCGTCATGGTGGGCTCGTGGGGCGGCGCTGTGCTCGGCCTGCAGTACGCCAGGTAAATCTCCCAGCACATGTCGATGTAATTCATCGAGTAGAGGGACCGCTGTTGCCCACTGAATAAACTGCCTAGAAACAGCACAGAAAGGTAAACACGCAAAGCATGGTTCCAACATTACACTTGGAAGAAATAGTGCTAAATAGACTCCTGTCGGTTCTGTGTTTACCTTTTACACAGCAGGCGTTGGGATGAATGTTCTCTGTCATCAGTTTTGTGAAACACAGAAAGAGCGAGGGGCTTCTGTGTCTGTGATTAAAAAGATATGATCACTCCCCCCTCCAGGAGGTGGGTCCCCCCCTATGGGCTCGGGAACTGGCTTCTAACAAGCAGAGTATAGAACGGGAAAAATAGTGAGTGTCCGGGAGACAGTGCAGCTGTCACCGCTGTAACCAGGTGGTGAAGGTGAACATCACCGGTAATGAGACAGTGATGTCAGATTCCCTGACAGGATGTGACGGGAAGCGCAGCTCACCTCCCTAGGCTCAGTGGAAGGAGGGGAAAGCTCTGCAGACCAAAATCGAGGGATATTTTATATTAACGGACCGATATTCTTCAAAAGTGTCAGGTCGTAGAAGACAAAGTCTGAGAAACTATCACAGATTGTAGGGGACTAAGCTATGTCAACTTTCCACAATGTGGGATCCTGGATTGAATCCCGGAACAGAAACGGGACAAGGGTGGGAAAATTCAGGGAAATTCCAATAGAGTCTGTAATTTACTTAATGGCACTGCAGCCATGGTAGTTCCTTAATTTCCATACGTGCGCCTTGGTTCTGCAAGATGCTATCCGGGGAAGCAGTGAGGGGTCTGCATGTCAATTTTGCTCCAAGAGAGACAGGAAGTTCTGGTCGAAGGTAACGTTGGTTGTAACTATTTCTGAATAAAACCCTGAGAGCTCTTTGCAGTTACTGACACATGACGAGTCACATCTGAAGGGTTCCACGTTTAAAGCTGGTATCTGATGGTTTTGTGGTTAATATTTTTGTGTCCAGCCCTTAAGTTCTAGAGTTTGTGAAAAAATAATGATGAGAATGGCAAAGACAAGAGGCCAGCCCTGGCTGGGCGGTTCTGCTGGTTGGAGCATCGTCCTGCGTACCAAAAGGTGGCGGGTTCGATTCCCGGTCAGGGCCTGTACCCAGGCTACAGGTTGGATCCCCGGACAGGAGACAACTGATCGATGTTTCTCTCCCTCTCTCTCTCTCCCTTCCTCTCTCTGAAACCAATTTTTAAAAAAATAAATAAAGAAAAGAGGACAAATGTAACTGCCAGAACGGCCAGCTCTGCCTGCGTCCTCTCCCAGGGTCCAGAGGTAGACTTACTGGTATTCTTTGTGATGAATGTGGTAAGCCAGCTGCAGGAGATAGGTCAGAAATATTCTCAAAAGTATTTTTGTAAATGGAGAATGAATCTCTTCAACTGGTATGCCGCTGTATTCTGGAATAAGAAAATTGAAGAGGATGATTAGTATTTTCTAGAATCTTCTATTTTCTCCTGCTACACAATCCCAAGCACTGAGTACTTTTCTTCCTAGAGAATACTCGGAACTATATATCCGCATCCACCTAAAAATCAAGTCCCACTCGAAAGATCTTTATCTAGTCACTTTACACAAGAAACTTTCAAGGTCTCGTGTCCCAATGTGTTTCCAAGTTTTCTGAGCCTAATTTGATTAATGCTGATAATTCTAAATGGATTCCAGGTCTATTTCAAACACTCAAATTTGAAGTGAGTAGTTCTAATATTTTATTTTTCAAGTAGATAACTGGAGGCTTTCAGCCCTGCCTCCCAGAATTCAGCTGAGAGGAGTAAAACCTTCAAAGTCATGAAATTTACTGCAAGAACTTTCTAATTTGAAATCGAGACCAAGCCCAAGACCACCTGACGCCTTTTCTAGGCTATTCTAAGCCATTCGTTCTCCCTGACACTCTCTGCTTCTCACCCGACGATTTAGCATGTTTTTACTATAGATCAGAGGTAGGCAAACTTCTCTGCAAAGGGTCAGGCAGTAAATACGTTAGGCTTTGTGGGCCAGTCTCTGCCACAGCCACTCAGTTCTGGTGTTTTAGGGCAGAAGCCGCCACAGACAATAGGTACAGAAATGGGCATGGATGTGTTCCAATAAAACTTTATTTATAAAAACAGGCAGGGGGCCCCTGCTGTGCTGACCCTCCCAGCTGTAGATGGCCATGGTGTTGCTATTACATCACCAGATGCCTCTTCAAGTGCATTTTAAGCACCTTGAGCAGAAAGATGCCACGTGTTGATTTCTGCAACACCTCTCCCAGCCTTTGCCTTCACCCCTCAACGTCTCCTAACTGGGTTCCTGGTGACAAGATGTCACACTACTCTTTGAACTGAAAGGTGTGCCGGACCTGGAATACTCACCACTTATTACCCTGTCCATATCGGCGAGAGTTATTTTATGGTGGTGAAATTTGCAATCCTTTAGAAACCTCCAGAACTGAAGCTTCGTCATCAGAAAGGTGTTATCCGGGGACTGCTCACATCCTAGTCTGCTGTAGAAGGTGTAAATTCTCCTTAATTCTGTAATATTTCTTAAGATAGCATATTCTACCTGAAAGGAGAAAGCCATGCATATCTTAATCTTACCCAATGAGAACGAAAGCAAAGAAACACCTGTTGGCTAGATTAATGAGATGACACATGGGAAGTAGGAGCATTTACCTCTGGTCACTGTGAGAGCTCAGTGAGGACTGTATTCTCCCCACCCGACCCCAGGTCAATAGCATGCAATTTCTGAGTGACAGGAGGAAACATGCGGTCGTCTGGACAGGGGAACCCCTTTCTTGCTGCTCGGTGCTAGCAGCCCGTCTGAACGGCAGCAATCAAATTCTCTCGTCTACAGATCAATATCCCGTAGGAGCACAGACACAAAAATCCTCGACAAAAGACTAGCAAATCGAATCTCGCAACATATTTAAAAACTTAACATGTCCACACCAAGCGGGGTTTATCCTGGGGCTGCAAGGCCAGTTCAACCTTTGAAAAGTCAGTCCGTGTAAGTCACCGTATTGGTCACTAGGAAGAAAGGACTCGTGATCGCATCAATGCATTTGACAAAACGCAACATCCATTCCTGACGGACACCCTCAGCAAACTGGGAGTGGGAAGGCATGGTGAGGAGGGGAACTGACAGAGGCAGATTGGAAGGAGGGCTGAATGTCAGGGGATCGATTAACCAGTGACACTGACTGACAGCAAAGGCAGTGTTTGGATGGGAAAGGATATGTATATACAGCCAGGAGGCTGCGGCTTGCTCCAGCTGAGACAAGAATGATCCAGAACCGGCTCAGGAAAAGACACCCACGCTTTGGCAAAATGATTCTGAGAACAGATAATGAAGACATATAATCCTGAGAAGACATCAGATATACCCAAACGAGGGACAGAACTGACCAGTGCCCTTCAAAAGTCTCAAAGTCCGGGAGACGGAGGAGCCGTGACAGACTGGAGGAGGTTAAAGGGATGGGGAGGACCAGGCCGGGTGGGCCCCGGGCGGGACCCTGGAACAGAAGAGGGCATCAGGAGAGCTGCTGAAATACAAAGTCTATACTAGTGTCTGTCAACTGTCATTAAAAAGTCAATTCTCTAAAAAAAAAAATTTAAGCCTAAATACAAATTTGTAACAGTGCGAAAGGTTCTTACCTGCTTCTTTTCCTCCGGTTGCTCTCTCTTAGGGTACATGTTTAGCAACAAAATTAGGTCCAGCTCGATGCTCGAGCCTAGCGCTGACTTACTTTCACTGCCGTTAAGCCTTCTGATAATCTCTAGGAAATGGAGGCAAACACAGGGGATAACTGTGACAGGCAATGTTGACATTTTTCAGTGCTGTGCCAAAATAATTTCCTGCAGACGTGTGATACAAGAGCATTCCAAAACCCTACTAAACAGATGACGTACTATGGCATTGTACACCTGAAACAGTATCAATTCATTAACCAACTAGAGGCCCGGTGCACAAATTCGTGCACGGATGGGGTCCCTCTGGGTCAGTGGTCCTCCACCTTCCTGATGCCGCGACCCTTTAATACAGTTCCTCATGTTGTGCTGACCCCCAACCATAAAATTATTTTCGTTGCTACTTCATAACTGTAATGTTCCTACTGTTATCAGTCATCATGTAAATATCTGATATGCAGGATGTATTTTCATTGTTACAAATTGAACATAATTAAAGCATAGTGATTAATCACAAAAACAATATGTAATTATATATGTTTTCCGATGGTCTTAGGTGACTCCTGTGAAAGGGTCGTTCGACCCCCAAAGGGGTCGCGACCCACAAGTTGAGAACCGCTGCTCTGTGTGGTCTGCAGGGATCCGGCCAAAACCCGCAGTCCAACGCCGCCTGCAGCTCCTACCTCCGCTACCGCTCATCCCAGCCCCACTGTGCCTGCCATGGGCTCGCAACCAATCAGTCCCTATCAGGAGAGGCTCATGCTGCCACAACAGCGCTCGCCAGCCATGAGCCCTGCGTCTGGAGCCCTCCCAAGGGGAGTGGCCTGTGGGATCAGGCTGAAACCGGCTCTCCAACATCCCCTGAGGGGTTCCGGATTGCGAGAGGGCACAGGCCAGGCTGAGGGACCCCCCCAGGGAGGGACCACAGGAGGGCTCCAGGGCATGTCCGGCCCATCTCGCTCAGTCCCGATTGGCCGAACCCCAGCAACAAGCTAACCTACCAGTCGGAGCATCTGCCCCCTGGTAGGTCAGTGCATGTCATAGCAACTGGTCGACCGGTCAACGGTCTGTCCCCTGGTGGTCAGTGCACGTCATAGCAAGCGGTTGAGCTGCCTTAGCATATCATTAGCATATTATGCTTTGATTGGTTGTTCTGTTCTGACATTTGGTCTATTTGCATATTACCCTTTTTTTATATAGGAGGATGTCACCCCAGGACATTCAGTAAATAAATAAATAGGCAACCGAGAGAGCAGTCGCTCCCGGGAAGCTTCTGCCTTCTGGGGGGTGGGGAGTGTTGTGATGAGTGGAGCCGTGGAGAACACAGGCCCATGAACTCGCGGCCGGCAGGGGGACCTCCCTACCGGCACTGGAAGACCCTTCACACTGGCTCCCAAGGACAGACACGGCAGACGGGGCTTGGTAATGTACTAATTCGTCGTCGAGACTTAGAAACTCCGCTATGTGGTCACTGGAGAAAGGGCCAGTATACACGCGTCCATTCTTGAAAGTTAACTGGCCCTGCAGATAGAAAGGTAACTTGTGAAGTTTAGGAAAAAAGTTTCTTAGAAAGCCATTGGTAAATGTACATCAAAATCTTTCGCAAGAATTTGGAGTTTTGCCCTGTCCGGCTTGGCTCAGTGGTTAGAGAGTCGGCTCCCAGACAGTGGTGTCTTGGGTTCAATTCCTGGTCAAGGGCATGTGCCTGGGTTTCGGCTTTGATCCCTGCCCCCAGTCGGGATGTGTGCAGGAGACAACCAATTGGTATGTCTCTCTGACATCGATGTTTCTCTCTCCCTCATCCCCTCCCTCCCTCCCTTCTACTCTTTCTAAAAATCAATGGGGAAAAATATCCTTGGGTGAGGATTAACAAACCAACAAAGAGTTTGGAGTTTCTGTTTGTTTTTAAGATATGCACTTAGTCCACACATAATCAGGTTCCTAGACTCTCATGTCACTGCAGAAATCCTCCTCCTCCTGATTCTCCTTCTCTTCTCCCCTCTCTTCTTGCTGTATCTGCCTCACAACCTCTCCCCAATTGTAAGCACCCCTGGGTCACAGAATGTGTCTTATTAAACTATGCTAATGGCCAGCAGAGTGCCCGTCACAGAAAAGGGACTCTCTTGGTATTTGTCAAACCCAGGCCATTCGTCAGCCTGATTCAGAGATGGGCAAATGACCCAGTTCAGTTCAGTGAACCTGAAGATGTTTGTGGAAAGCTTCTTGAAAAAGAGATTCTGCTCCCCTTCTACTTAGTGTGGGATGTGGATGTGAAGGCAGGAACCACAGCAGCCATCTTGCAATCATGAGGGAGGGGCAGTGTAAGGGTGAGGCTGACATGGCAGGGGACATCATGGATAGATAGAGAAAACCTGGCAACACTGAGTTGCTGAATCAAACCAACATAGAAACCCATGTTATTTTTTATAATTTATAGAAGATTAAGCTAGATTTTCTACAACCAAAACCACACACACACACACACACACACACACACAACCTCTAGATATCAGGAAACTATGTTGGTAATTATTTTTAAATTTGTGTAATCGTCTGAACAAAGCAATAAGATATCCTGTGCAAAATGGATAGAGAATAGCACGCCTTGTACTGTATTTCAAGTGCTTTACATAGTCCTTAAAATGTGACCCCACAGACCTGTACTCACCATGCCATGTTTTTTATTGGAAACCCACTCCCCCTCATATATGGCTCCGCTGGCGTAGTAAAACTTCCCGTGGCCATGACGACACCCATCTACAAAGTTCCCTCTGTATTCGTTTCTCAAAGGATACTGGGTGTTGGGGACTCTCTTTAGAAACCATGTGTGTGTCCCTAAACCATTCTGAAAAGGAAGGAAATGCCCATGAGAAATGTTCAAGATATTTCCTCTTTGTTCTTGAATCTGTTGACAGTGAGGTGTGGGTTAAAAACAATGACTTATTTGAAGGGGCAAAAAACATGGACTTCAGGGTCTCAGCTCAGCTACTTCCTAACTAGCCTTCTGACCTCAGGCAAATTATTGAAGCCCTTTGTCTTTCGTCTGTAAAATGGAAATAAAATCTACCCTGCAGGTTGGGTGCAAAGACTGAAGATAGAAAGTGCCTGGCTTGATAGTGATTATTTTAGTTATTATTTTTAATTTTATTTTTAACATGCAGATTGATAAAAAAAAAAAAATCCTACTTTCCAGTGGTAACCTTGACTAAGCCCTAAACGTGTATACACCCGACAATAGAGCTTCGAAATATATGATGGATCCGGAAGGAGAAATAGACAAATCTTCAATTAAACCTGGACACTTCAACACTCTCTCTTAGGCATGGATAGAAAAAGTAGACAGAAAATGAGTGATGACCTAGAAGACCTGAACAATCACAGTCATCTAGCTGACATCCGCGGAACATTCCACTCAACAAAAGCAGAAACACATCTAACATCCACCAAGACAACCATTGTCTGGGCTGTAAAATAAACAGATTTAAAAGGAATGTGATCATACAAAGTGTATTCTTGGACTACAGTGGAATTAATGAACTATAAAATCAACAATAGAAAGATATCTGGAAAAATCCCCAAATATTTGGAAATGAAACAACATACTTCAAAATAATTTGTAGGCTAAAGAGTAAGTCACGGGGAAATTAGAAAATATTTTGAACTGAACAAAAATTAAAACATAATGTATCAGAATCTGTAGGATATAGATAAAGCAGTGCTTAGAGGGGAAAAAAACTGTAGTATTAAATGCTTATATTAGAAAGAAAAACTGTCTCCAATTAGTAAGGCTCCCACCTTATAACTCTAGGAAAAGAAGAGCAAATAAAACCCAAAGCGTGCAACAATAATAGCAAAGAGCAGATATCAAAGTGAAAACTGAAAAACATCAGAGAAAATAAATAAAATTAAAATTGGCTCTGCGAATTTTAATGACATTGATACACTTCTAGCAAGACTAATGAAGAAAAACAGAAAAAGAAAAATTACTAGTATCAGAGGAGGGGACATTCCTATGGATCCTATGTATATTAAAATAATAAAGTAAATATTATGAACTTTATGCCAATAAATTTAATAATTTATGTGAAATGGACAAATTCCTCCAATAACACAAACTTCCAAAGCTTACTCAAGAATAAATGAAGCCCTAGCCAGTTTGGTTCAGTGGATAGAGCGTCCCAGGTTCTATTCCGTTCAAGGGCATGTACCTTGGTTGCAGACTCCTCCCTGGCCCGGGCCCTGGTCGGGGCTGTTCAGGAGGCAACCAATCAATGAGTCTCTCTCACATCGATGTTCCTCTCTGTCTTTCCCTCTCTCTTCTACTCTCCCTAAAGATCAATGGAAAAATATCCTCGGGTGAGGATTAACAAAAACAAAAAAAAACACAGAAAGAGCCCTGACTGGTTTGGCTCAGTGGATAGTGTGTCAGCCTGCGGACTGAAAGGTCCCAGGTTCGATTCTGGTCAAGGGCATGTACCTTGGTTGCAGGCACATTCCCAGTAGGAGGTGGTGTGCAGGAGGCAGCTGATCTATGTTTCTCTCTCATCAATGTTTCTAACTCTCTATACCTCTCCCTTCCTTTCTGTAAAAAAAAACAACCAAAAAGAAAATAATTATAAATAAAAAAAGAATAAATGAATAGCACATTATTTACTAAAGAAATACATTTTATAGCTAATATGTAGTTATTTATAGTTACTCTTCCCACAAAAATAACTCCAGGCCCACAGGCTTTACTGGCATATTCAACTAAACAACCAAGACAGAGATAATACCAACTTTACAAACTCTTCCAGAAAACTTTCCAAGTCATGTTATGAGGCCAACATTACCCTCATTACCAAAAGCTTACAAAGATATAAGAAAAGAATACTCTAGATCAGTGGTTCTCAACCTGTGGGTCGCGACCCCTTTGGGGTTGAACGACCCTTTCACAGGGGTCGCCTAAATACATCCTGCATATCAGATATTTACATTATGATTCAAAACAGTAGCAACATTACAGTTATGAAGTAGCAACGAAAATAATTTTATGGTTGGGGGTCACCACAACATGAGGAACTGTATTAAAGGGTCGCGGCATTAAGAAGGTTGAGAACCACTGCTTTAGATCAATATCCCTCATAAACGCAGACACAAAAATTCTCAACAAAGCTTGAGGAAATGGAATCCAGCAAGGCATGAAAAGGATAACAGCATCATGACCAAGCTGGGTTTATCCCAGGAATGCAAGGTTGGTTCAACATTTGAAAATTAATCAATGTAATTCAACATATCAACAGGCAAGAGAAGAAAATCCACATGATCATCTGACTAGAGGCAGGAAACACCTTAGACACCTTCAACATCAATTCGTGATAAAACTGTAAGCAAATTAAAAATTAAAGAGAGCTCCCTCAACCTGATAAAGGGCATCTATGAAAAACCGAGAGCTAACATCACACTTGATAGAAGACTGAATTCTTTCCCACCAAGGTCAGGAACAACGCAAGGATGTCCGCTCTCTCCACTCCTGTTCAGTATCACACTGGAGGTCTTAGCCACACAATCAGCAAGAGAAAAACAATGGCACTCATTAGAAAGGAAATACAATACAAGGCTGACTATAGGCAATATGATGTCTCAATTTTTTAAGTCCCAAGGAATCTACAAGAAAGTGACTAGAACTATTATGTGCTTTTAGCAAAGTCCCTGGTTACCAGATTAATATGTACAAGATATCATCAGAAAAATCCTCGCGATATAAACCATATAAAATTAACCATAGAAAGCACATTGCTTCTAACGTGTAAATGATGGTCTCAGGCCTCACAGATATCGTGTGCCTTTTGGGTTCGCCAACAGTAGAATAGAATCTGGTTTGTGTGGAAGACCTTTCGAGCAAACCAAGTAATAAAACAGCGTTACAAACGTCTGGTTTAGACCAGGAAATTGTAAGTTGAGTTTCTAAATTTAGCAGAACTTGAATTTCAGACTGCCATACAACACTATAGCAAATAAAATATGTGCTGGGGATCAGCAGAGTGTCCACCTCTGGGTATATTCTGCTAAAACCAGCTGGCGGGGTACCTGGACGCCATTCTCCCACTGACCACTGTACTCTTCGTTAGTTGTCAGCCATTTCATCGTGCCTTCCCCATGGCGCATGTTGTTTTCCCACTGCCCTTCGTACATATTTCCAGATTTATAACTAGAAAAAAACAACAACACAAAACACCCCACAACAATTCAGAACAATCCGTTATCTCATATACCTTTAATAGACTTTCTCTTAAGACATTCTCCCTGTACTCTTATGAAGAAATCCAACTCTCTCATGCATACAATCTACCCTGTGCTTAAATTCAAAGGATGGGTATGTGGTTGGTAAAGAAAAAGAAATCACCTTAGGAGGTAGAATAAATTACTTTACTAAACTTTCTGATCATCTAATAGTAACAAAGTGAGTAAGGGCAGTCATTTTAAATCTTTTTAAAAAAATATATTTTTATTGATTTCAGAGAGGAAGGGAGAGGGAGAGAAACATCAATGATGAGAGAGAAGCATTGATCGGCTGCCTCCTGCATGCCCCACATTGGAGATCGAGCCCACAACCTGGTCATGTGCCCTGATAGGGAATTGAACCATGACCTCCTGGTTCATAGGTCCACACTCAACCACTGAGTCACGCCAGTGGGCCTAAATCTTTAAAAATAATTCCTTGGCCATAGCTGGTCTGGCTCAGTGGGTAGAGCATTGGCCCACAGACTGAAGGGTCCCAGGTTCGATTCCAGTCAAGGGCACGTACCTTGGTTGCAGGCTCAATCCCCTTGCCCTGGGGCCTGTGCAGGAGGTAACTAATCGATGTGTCTCTTTCACATCAATGATTCTCTCTCTTTGTCTCTCCCCCTCCCTTCCACTCCTTCTAAAAATCAATGGAAAAATATCCTTGGGTGAGGATTAACAAAAATAATAATAATTCCCTGGAGTATTATAATTAGGTGATATTGCCCACAAATATTTTTACTTTATCAGCTCAATCTAAAAACCAAGCAAATATGTCAAATTCTTCAGAAAATGTAACCTATATCATGGAGATCCATGAGTAGTAGAGAGAACAAAGAAAGGCCATCTTTACATAGAATAAAGTAAAACAGAATGATTGGACAACATTTAATATGGTGCTTTTCTACATTTTCTGTAGAATGTTTTCATTACCGTGGGGTTATATTGGGTGAATTGGAATACTCCACTCGCTTCTATAGAAAATGCATTCCCTGTGATTCCTGCCCCTTATCTTCCCAGAGCCTCGGTGAGCACCATCCGGGTCCCCGCACACTTTCTGCCCAGACCCCAGAGGGGGATACCTACCGTCTTATCCCCCAGCCCTTCTTGATGTTGTGAACCCAGTCCCCCTCGTAGCACGAGGTACCCTCTTCATTGTAATAAATGGAGCCCTGAAATAAATAATATCATTTTTGTAAAAAAAACCAAGCCTCATAAGACAATGTTTTTTTATAGGTGAAAATAAAAATATACTATAAATTTAAGGAGCCTAAACTATACAGAAGTCAAACATCACACTAAAGCAAGACATACAATCTGTGATGTTTCTGTTTCGCAGTCAAGAATATGGTAGTGTCCACCGAGGGAGAATGAGATAATGTCGCAAACCAGTTACTCCTTTTTTTTCTTTTTTAAAATATATTTTACTGATATTTTTACAGAGAGGAAGGGAGAGGGATAGAGAATTAGAAACATCGATGAGAGAGAAACATCCATCAGCTGCCTCCTGCACACTCCCCACTGGGGATGTGCCTGCAACCAAGGTACATGCCCTTGACCGGAATCGAACCTGGGACCCTTGAGTCTACAGGTGGGCGCTCTATCCACTGAGCCAAACCGGTTAGGGCAAACCAGTTACTCCTTAACAAAGTGCCACTCCAGGGCATGAACAATCCTCACGTTCAGTAGACTCATTATCTTCATAACTATCAGTCAGATAAGTGCCTAAAGAAATCCTGTTTTGTCACCTAAGTAATAGTAGCGCCTTTCATATAACTGAAGGTCACTCACTTATGTACCAAAACCCCTTTCCTTTATCCACTGGGACTCCTTACTTAGCTCACTCCTCTAGGGGACTGGCCATGGTGCAAGGCATCCGGATCTACACTGAGTGGCCTCAAATTGCTTGCTTGTTCACTGGTGTGAGTGTGTGCACGTGTGCGAGTGTGAGGGTGTGATTTTTCCATCTTCCGCATTGTCAAGCTAACTTGTGTCTTCTTGCAGCCATTCGGGTGCCTCCATGGAGAACCCACCACCCCAACCCCTCCCATATATCCAAAGTGATCTGCAATGAGCTAAAACCAAGCCAAACAAACAACACAACCAAACAGTCTAAGTCTCAGTAAAGTGATGATTATCATGGTAAACTTCTTCTTGTGGCATTTTCTAAAAACACTGCTGCAGTATTTGATCGTCCCATACAAAAGCCAACAGTCTTGCTTAAAAGTGAATATAACCTACATAGCAGGTGCGGATGCAAATGGTGTGGCCACCATGGAAAACAGCTTGGTGGCTTTACAAATGTTAAAACATCAAGGTACTGCGTGACCTAGTCATTCCACTCCTAGATATATACCCAAGAGACCTGAGAGCAAGTCCCCAGGTGACTCTCTGCGTACATTCACAGCAGCGCTGTGCACAGGAGCCAAAGGATGGAAGCAGCACAAGTGTCCAGCAGCGGGTGAATGGATAAACAAACCGTGGCTCATCCTCATGGTGGAATATTATTCAGCCGCACAAAGGAGCCAAGTACCTACAACAGGGAAGAACCTCAAAAACATGATGCTGAGCGAAAGGACCAGACACAACGGGTCACACATTGTATGGTTCTGTTTCATACAAAATGTCCAGAATAGGTAAACCCATAGAAAAAAGCAAGTTGTTGAGACTGGGAGTGGGGAGTTGGGCGGGGGGGTTGGGGGAGGTGCATGAGGGGCGTGGTGGAAGAGGGCTATGGAGCAACTACCTAATGGGCACAGGGTTTATTTTGGAGTGATGAAATGTTTTGGGACAAGAAAGAGGTTGTGTTTGCACAACACTGAGAATGTACTAAATACCACTGAATTGCTCTGAAATGGTTTATCTCCTGGGATGTGAATGTCACCGCAATAAACAAACAGCGGATCTGATCTACCTTTCCCGCCTGCGGTTTGTGCATCCCAGGCACAGAGGCCGTCACGTGGCGGCCTCACTCACCTTCCCGTGCCTTTTGCCCTGGCACCAGTGGCCGATGTAGGACACGGGCTGCGTGCTGCACTTGAACACACCAAAGCCGTTCCGCATGCCGTTGATCACTTCTCCCTCGTAGGTGCTGCCATCCGGCCACGTGTACACGCCCCGGTTCATGGGGATGTTCTTCACAAATTCCCCCTGGGGCAAAGAGGCCAAAGGAGTCAGAAAGCAGGCAGAGAGAGGTTTCTGAGCCTGGGGGGTGTCTGAGACACGTCCTTGACCCCCCATCCTCATGCGTGTCTCTCCTCCCATGGAAACACGCAACTACCCTCCCCAACCCCTACCCTCCTCCTTCCTTCGCTACACAGCCCGTTCGTTTGCCCTCGCCCGGTCCCTCCGTTGGGTAGAAGCCCAGGCAGAAGAACGTATCTGGAAGGCTGTGTATAGACCAGTGATGGCGAACCTTTTGAGCTCAGCGTGTCAGCATTTTGAAAAACCCTAACTTAACTCTGGTGCCGTGTTACATATAGAAATTTTTTGATATTTGCAACCATAGTAAAACAAAGACTTATATTTTTGATATTTATTTTATATATTTAAATGCCATTTAACAAAGAAAAATCAACCAAAAAAATGAGTTTGTGTGTCACCTCTGACACGCGTGTCATAGGTTTGCCATCACTGGTGTAGACGGAGCTCCGAGCAGCAAGCAGGGGACACCCGGCCTGGGGAACATGGATTCCTGGAACCCACCCCGAGGGAGGCTGTGAGTGGGAGCTGACACCCGAGCCCTCTCTTGGAGGGCAGTTTGGTTCTAGCAAATGATTTAAAAATACATCTTCCCCTCGGCCCAGCAAGATGGGTCAAGAGAGTTGCCCGTAGTGGAAGACAAGCAGCCAGGGAAAACAGGGAGATCTGCATGGACGCCTATGGTTTGATCTCGAAGAAATGAACATACAGAAGAGAGTATATGATAAACTGCTTGTAAAAGGTAGGAGAAGCCCAGGACACGCAGGTGTGCTGTCCTTGCACAGAACACAGAACCTTCTAGAACCAGTGACACTGCTAACAATACCAGAGGGCCCCGGGCGGTAACCAGTTACTTTTCACCTACATTCTTTGGTTCTGTGGATTCCTTTAACCCATGTGCTGAATTACGTTTATGAAAGTAGTACGTTTAATTGTGGGAATCTGACCGTTAAGTCTCATAATTATAGTTTAGAACTATGACATATTACATGCTTTACCTCATATTTCACTCCATCGGCCCAAATGTAAGTCCCTTGTCCATGCATGAGTCCTTCTGAAAACATACCCTTCAAAACAGAGTGACAACAAACCCTTGGGACAAGGCACTGATGTCACACGACAGCTTCCTCCCCCGTCCACCCGCACGAGCATGACCATGCTTGTCCACGCGTTCGCAACAGTGGCAGAGCCCACCTTTGAGCCAGCCCCACACTGGCATCCATCCTGTTCTGAAAAGGGTCTGAGGAGGGTCCGGAAAAATCCAGTTCCCTACAATTTACACTACAGGCAGTCGTGGGCTGTTGTTAAATGGAAGCCTGAATTCAATCTGTGTCTGCATTTTGAGAGTTTTTGTGACACAGGAAATTGAACATGTGCATGTTAAGGGGGAAAAATTCAGGGAACTAAAACTCATGCCTGTGGCCCCAACCACAAAAATTTGTGATCCTATAATAATCACATATTTCTCTGATAATATGAATGAATGAATGAATGAATGAATGCCCTCACGGTGGCATTACTAATAAAGGCAAAAAATGAAAATGCCCCCAAAGTATCCAACAACTATGGCACAGTTGAATTAGAACACTATGCAATGTTTAAAGTAATTATTGTGGCCCTAACCGGTTTGGCTCAGTGGATAGAGCGTCGGCCTGTGGACTGAAGGGTCCCAGGTTCGATTCCGGTCAAGGGCATGTACCTTGGTTGCGGGCACATCCCCAGTGGGGGGTGTGCAGGAGGCAGCTGATCGATGTTTCTCTCTCATCGATGTTTCTAACTATCTCTCTCCCTTCCTCTCTGTAAAAAATCAATATATTTTTTTAAAAATCTTTAAAAAAAAGTAATTATTGTGAAAGAGGGGATGGGGAGTTAGTGTTTGATAGGTACAGAGTTTGTTTTGGGATATTGAACAAGTTCTGGAACTAGACTTGCCACTGAACTGTACACTTGCAAATGGTTGAAATGATACATTTTATGTTATATACGTTTACCACAATGAAACAATTAAGTTATGACACCATGTGGCAATACAAAGAAGGATTCAGAAGTGAAAAAAGATCCAAAATGTTATGTACAAAATGAATATGCCCAGCCCTGGCCGTGTGGCTCAGTTAGTTGGAGCATCGGTCCCATACATCAAAAGGTTGTGGGTTTGATTCTCAGTCAGGGCACATACCTAGGTTGCAGACTCAATCCTTGGTCGGGGTGTATATAGGAGGCAACCAATCAATGTTTCTCTCTCACATCAATGTTTCTTCCCCCCCCCCCCCCCGTTCCTCTCTAAAATAAATATATCCTCAGGTGAGGATAAAACATTTAAAAAATTTCTTTAAATGAAGATTCCCAGGTGAAAACACTGATACATCCATTTAGGAAATGAAAGGAACATAGCAAATTAAAAACATTTATGGCAATATATATATAAGTCTTTGTTTTATTCTTCATTGTTTACTAAAAATTTCTATATGTGACATGGCACCAGAGTTAAGTTAGTGTTTTTCAAAATGCTGACACGCCGAGCTCAAAAGGTTTGCCATCACTGACATAGACAGTGTTCAAAATAAAATCAGCATTAAGGACTTCCAAGTTCTTTGAAGAACCAGTGGATTTATCTGATGCAAATCGACATCTATCATCACCCGGTGCCTTCCTCCCCGCCCAGCCCCCAAATGTGTCACTCACGCGGTAGGTGCAGCCTCCCTGGAAGACTGCAAAGCCTTCTCCCTGGTACAGTCCATGGACTTTTTCCCCTTCATAGCTACAGAGAAATGAGACTCAAGGTCATGACGTGAGTGACCCCAAGGGACAGTGGGTCAGACACATAATTAACATGAATGAAGAAGCACTTGTCACATTTATTCACCCAACAAACACTCCCCGGGGGCCACCGGATGCCTGTCCCCTTCTAGAAGCCAGGCCGAGAACGGTGAACTGTGCCCAAGACTGGAAAGTTCCTGCCTTAGGAGCTGACAGTTCACTGAGGACAGACAATCAACAGGAAACACACGAACAAGAGAATTCCGTATCGAGTTCAGTTTTTGTGAAAGAAGTAACCAGGGGAGGAGGCTACTGTACGCAGAGTCAGGGTGGAAGCCTTTCAGAGGACGTGAGAGTTGTACTTGGACCTAAAGGATCTGAGACAAAACATCCATTAGAAGAATCCCGGGAAGAGGACCCCAGTTAGAGGGAACAGCAAGCGCAACGGCCCTGAGGCAGGAAGGAGCCTGAGATCTCAAGTTCAGCAGAGAGGAGAGCAGCAAGCATGGACGATACCACCCGTTAAGATCACCTTTCAATGATGAGGTTGGTCAGAATGGGGTCTTCATATTGAAGGGCATCTTCTAACGGCTGATTCTCATTTCTGGACTCCCTTTTGGATCCTGGTTCACTTAGCCCCAATTGTGGGACAATGATTGGGGATACTACTTGTCTAGTGGAATTGCCATCTGGCTTGGAAAGCTCCGGATTATCAGAGAGAGATGAGGGAGAGTGGGCAGATTTATCCACTTTTTTGTCTGTTTTTTTCTTTTCTTTCACCATTGCCTTTATTTAAGTGTCCAATTCCTTTGAGAGCTGTTTGTTTCAAGTCACTGATGAGCTTTACCTGAAAAAAATAAAAATTATGTCTCCAAATACTTGAGGGTTTCACTCGTAGCTGAAATGTTAGCTTTACAACCCAATGCCATTACCGTTCTCCTAAAAGCGTGAAAAATTACAATAGGTATTACCGGTTTATAAAAATAATATAGCCTCACGCCCTTACCGGTTTGGCTCAGTGGATAGAGCGTCGGCCTGCGGACTGAAAGGTCCCAGGTTCGATTCCGGTCAAGGGCATGTACCTTGGTTGCGGGCACATCCCCAGTAGGGGGCATGCAGGAGGCAGCTGATCGATGTTTCTCTTTCATTGATGTTTCTAACTCTCTATCCTTCTCCCTTCCTCTCTGTAAAAAATCAATAAAATATATTTTTAAAAAATAAAAATAATATAGCCTCAATATTACATTGGTTGTTCCTAAATGGTTTTTAAATTGGAACCATTGTTTACAAATAGTGTCCCAGTAAAGGGTCATCCTGTCCATGAAAAACGGCTACTTAACCTCTGAGGTCTAGCATGCTGCCAGTCCCTGCTGTGAAAGCCGGTCTCCCGTGGCAAAGTGCTCAAAGCTGGATTCCTGCAAGTTACTTGATGTCCTTCCGCCTCAGATACCAAATAGGAATAACAGTACCTTGTTTCCTTGTAAGAATTAAATAGATTGATGCGCGAAACATTTCCAAAGTATGGGAAAGGGCACACAATCAGTAATGGAGTGATGATTGCATGCCATTTTCCTGTTTGGGAACTTGAAGTCATTGGCCCTATGCCAGCACTACCATTGACTGAGCACCCACCCCCTATGTCAGCCAGAAACAGGGTGGTGTCAAGGTGGAGCAGAGGGGTAGGACTCCAAAGCTCTAGAGTCCATGGCCCTCTGCATCCGGCCCCACTGAAAGCATCCCAGTCCTGGAGTCCAAGGCACCATCCCTCCTTGTGTGCCCAGAGGATGCAGGGGGTACCCCACGCCCTCCGCTGCCGGCAGGGTGTCCTCTGAAACTCACCTGCTAGTTCCACCCCACCTCTACCGCTCCAACCGTCCTGCTTCTCTCCATTCAAAACCTTCCACTCGCCCTGGCCGGTTTTGCTCAGTGGATAGAGCACCGGCCTGCCAACTGAAGGGTCTCAGGTTTGATTCCAGGTCAATCCCTGCAGGCTCAATGCCTGGCCCCAGTGGGGGGTTCGGATGGGGAAGGCACCCAATCGATGTGTCTCTCACATTGATGTTCCTCTCTGTCTCTCCCCTCCCTTCCCCTCTCTATAAACGAATAGAAAAATATCCTCAGGTGAGGAGTAACAATAGATGAATTACTCATTTAAAAAAGAAAATCACTTTCAGTCTCCACCCCCCGACCCCCCCATTGCTGTCTTAGCTAAGCAAACTGCTCTCACATCTGAACTCGGCAGGCTTCTACTCTATAGGCTTTCTGATCCCGTATCAGTGAAATCTGAACTGCAAGGCAAGTTTCCTTTCTCCTGGCGTGTTTCTCACTAACTTTTTTCTGTCCTCCCAGGCTTGACACTGCGTTCTCGTCACTGTTCTTTGCCACGGCAGCATAAAGGGAGCGCGAGTTCTGAGCCCAGGGGTCCCCGAACCTCCTGCCCTTCCCTAAGGCCTCCTCGCCCACCACGCACCTGCTCAGGTCCTCGGAGGAGGCAGGTCCGTTTGGCGGTTAAGTCCGTCGCAGGGCCTGGGGCGCCGGGGGCTCTCGCGGGGCGCTCACTTGGCTCTGAACACCAGGCCCAGCCAGGTGATGCACTACTCCCAGCGGCGCGTCTAAGCCAGGCCGGTCTCCAGGCAACAGCAGGCCCCGCCCCTCCCCGCCCTTAAAGGGGCCGAGCTTCCTAGAAGCACGTGTTCTCTGCCCCTTTACTCCAACAGCGGTTCTCAACCTGTGGGTCGCGACCCCTTTGGCGGTCGAACGACCCTTTCACGGGGGTCGCCTAAGACCATCCTGCATATCAGATATTTACATGACGATTCATAACAGAAGCAACATTACAGTTCTGAAGTAGCAACGAAAATAATTTTATGGTTGGGTCACCACATGAGGAACTGTATTTAAAGGGCCAGAAGGTTGAGAACCACTGCTCCAGAAGGTCAGGTGGAAATCTGGAGCTGGATGCACCTGACCTGGGTTCTCCCACCTCCGCTAACTGCCCCGTGACTTCTGTCCCCCTTCCTCTTCTCCATAACAGAATAATTAATTCAGGCGTTAGTTTTCCTTCGCGCTGTAAACAAGTTACACAAACTTGGCCTAGGGGCTTAAAGCAACACAAATTCATCATCTCCTGGTTCTGTAAGTTAGGGGTCCAACAGGGCTGGTTCCTTCTGGCAGCTGCAGGGGAGAATCTGTTTTCTCACCTCTAGAGTCTGCCTTCCTGCATCTTCCAAGTCAGTGGCTGCATCTCCCTGGCACAGCTGGGAGAGGTTCCCAGGTTTAAGTCATGGGATGGATTGGGCCCACCCAGCCAAGCCAAGATAGGTCCTCCATTTCTCAGCTCATTTCTTAATCACATCTACAGAGCCCCATACTCAAGGGTCTGGGATTAGGACATGGCCATCTTTGAGGCCAGAAACCCCAATTTGCAGAGTTCTTAAAAATATTAAATAAGACCCTGCAGACAGGCACACCAGCCTAAGCTTGACACAATACTGGTAATAATTATTACTTGGCTGTCTCATTACAGCGAAGAATGAATTCTAAGTTTGGGAATGGAAGCCTCTCTCCCAGGGGGCCCGAGGTCTGGGCAGGGAGGGCGAGAGCAGGGGGGTGGCCTACACTCGCCATTGTACACCAACCACCACTTGGACTCCACAGACGGCATTTTTAGCTGCATTTTTGGCAGAGTTCAAATGGGATGAGATACCATGAAAAGCTATCTGACAAAACACAGGGATTCTTCCATCTCCAGTACCACTCGGAGCCAGTAACTGGAATATCTGGCAGCTCCCACCCCAAGGAAACCACATCACAGCCTTAAATTACGGCCAAATCCAAACCTTTTATTTCCCCTTGCCTACAACAGTGCCTGCCGCCCTGGGGAACATTTAAAAATCATAATCCCAGCTCCACTGGGTCCTTTCTTCCCAGCTGGGCAGAGACCCCCACTAGGTTTTCCAGATTATTCCTTTAAAAAAAATGTATGTACATCAGGGTTGAGAACTAGTGAGCCAAGAGGATCATAATTTTAAATTTATGAAATTAAACCATTGTCGACTTAATCATCATTAGGCTTAGCGTTGCAGCCTAAAATATGCTAGGCCAGAGCCAAGGCCTGGATGGCTTCCAAAGTGCTCTTCCCATTTTTGAAAAAACATGCTCTTGCCTGTACACACACACACACACACACACACATACACACACACATAAATTCAGAACAAAAAACACTGCAGCAATACTCCACATGGTGCAAAAGGCTCTCAACATCATTTCTAAATGGCGCTGCTATGTGTTGTTGTTTTTTAAGTAGGCTAATTTTGAAACAAAATGGTTAAACCCTGCCTTGCAAAACAGAAAAGTCCAGTCTATAAAACAAGGTCAGTTTTGAGAAATGACGTCCAGATTGGCGATGTGTCTCATGGTCGGCCTGCCGTGGGGACAGTTCCAGGGATGGTCCATCTCACCCATATGGGCGATGAGTTTCTTCATCTCACTTGTGTTAAGAGCAGTTCCAATCATCACCTGAATACGAGACACAACGGTTTCAAGTTTTACTCGGTCTGGGTTAGAATAACAACTCTCTAGCCGAATTTTTCTCTAAAACAAAGCTGGACAAGATTACAACTCAAAGCCAACATTCCCTGAAAAATCTTCCCCCAGACAACACTGCCTTCTAATACCTCAGCGTCCACCTTTCTGTGACACCCCCCCTCCCTGGCTCCTTCCCTTTCCTCAAGATGCCGTCATCCGCCCAGAAGCCAACTAGTCTCAACGGTGCCAGCACAACCTCTGTGCCGGCCACCCTCACCTGTCATCTCAGCAACTGCAACGACCTCCTAACAGCCTCCCTGCTCCCCCTCACCGCACCCACCATCCTCCACTCAGCCGCCAGTGACCCCTTTGAACGGTGCCAGAGCTCCTGGCTCTTCACCTGAATAACAGCGCAGTGCATCACCTGATCTGGCCTTCACGCCTGCACTTGCAAGCATACAACCTTCCCTCCCCCACTGCAGCCACACTGGAGTGCCTGCCTCAGGACCTTGGTACTGGCTGTGCCCTCTACCGGGAGGCTCTCCTCCAATGTGGGCATGCCTCACTTCCCCGCTCCCCTCGGGCTTCTGCCCTAATGCCCCGCCTCCTCTCAGGGAACCAGCTCTCCTCGTCTACCCCGCTGTAGCCCTCGCCTTGCCTTTGCTCCATAGCTCCTATCACTATCTGACAGATACAGGGAGATGGACGATGCCACGGCAAGCAAGAAACGGAGGCCCTGAAACAAGGAGAGGTGGCGAGAGGTGGCAGGCCTGAAACTGGCAGTCCCAGAGGCAGGATATGGGGCAGCACTCTGCCACATTGGAGGAACACAGACAACAGACAAATTAACAGGAACAAGACAGCTATCACTCAGGGGCGCTGTGCCCTAATGCCGGGAAGAGGCCACTTCAGTCGGTGCTCAGGGACCAGGGGCAGAGGGAGCCAGGGATGTGACGCAGGAATGTGAAGCAGGGAATCCAGGCAGAGGGACGGGTCAGCACTCAGGGCTTGAGACGGGAAGGGGACCAGAGTGACTGGTCTGCAGACAAGAGCAGCACACGGGGCTGGAAGGGCAGATGGCCAGAGCCTGCGCCCTCGGTGTGCTGCCCGGAGGACAAGAGCTGCAGCTGAATGGACCTGCCAGGTGGGCATGAAGGAGCAGCCCGTTGGCTGTGGGCATGAAGGAGCAGCCCGTTGGCTCTGATCTCTGAGTCACACGAAGACATAATTTTAAATGTCTGGCTCTCAGCACAGGCCAGTCCCAACTCTCACAAACTCCAGCGCTGGGTTGATAGGCCTTCATCAAAGAAATCTCTGTGGCTGAAAGTCAGGTCCCGGCCCTAGTCCCTGCTCTAGTTAAACTCCTCTCTTGAGTAATTTCATGCAACTCCATGGCTGTGAAGTACACCTAACATTTTATCTCCAGCACTGATAGTTCCCCTGAGCTCGAGACTCAT